GTGTGACATTGCTAGTTTCTCCTGTTCTGGTTCCCCAGATCTGCTGATCCTCTGCTGCTCAGTCCTCTCTCTCCGGTCCCCACTCATCTTCTGCTATAATGTTCCCATGTTGCACACCATGTGTGCCACCTGCTAGCTGCTCCGCTCTAGTCTGGACCCCGCTCACCTTCCTGCTACTCGACGCTGCACACCAGATGTGGCATCTGCACCACTCTTGAAATAGTTACACATGAACCAGAAGTGAATGCTGATGATGTCTTTCTGGTTTTCTTTTTGGTGTCCCAGTGCATTCTACAGCTGTGACTGATCACACGGGATACATTCGGGGCCATGCACCTGCATGGATATCAAATTGGGAGCAGAAGTTGTGTCCTTGCAGCTCCTGTGTCCCAATTGATATAAATGGGATTGCCTGCATAGGGATGCACAAAGAACCTGCATATTCCCATGTGGGTAAACTCGGCCATCACACAGGTATACATATTGATACACCCCATAAATGTTTAAATTTCAGGTGAACAGAGTTGTGGGTGCAGTATGTAGCCAGGTACCAGCTACAATACTATGAATGCAATGGACATTACCTTCATTGCTGCAGACTGTTCCATTTCTCTTTATAGTATTACACTCACCTCGTTGGCATCTTTTTCTCGAGCCGGAAAGCAAAGGGCTTATAGTCCTGTATTCAGCCAGCACTGGAACCTTGAGCTTTTCTTAGACTTCACATCCCAGAAAGCTGCAAAAAGGAAAGGAAGGATTATGGGAAAGGCTATTTAAAGTGGAACTTCACCCTCTCAATCAACATGGACTATTTTAATCATTATGCTGCATTAGCATTAGTAAATGGATAGGAAAATATGTTTACTTGAATTAAACTTTTTTTTTGCATTTCTTCAGTTACTTCCTGGTTTCAATGTCTAAACATATGATGTCATACATCCCAGGAATCTTCAGGAGAGGAGGGAGGGTTCTCAGCTCAGCCAATACCTGAGCTAAGGGCAGATAGATTCCAGGACATAAATACTATATGAATCATCTGCCTTTACTCAAGATGGCCACTGCCAGAAATGCCAGGGGTGTTTTTCAAAATGATTTCTCAGAAAAATAAAGCATGGAGATATGAATGGATGAGTGAGTTTGCTTTGAATATTAATAATGAATTAAATAGCATTTTTGGTTTGTGGTGTTCAGATGCAGTGCAGTTCCTCTTTAAGGAGCTGTTTGGTGGGCTCTCGCTCTCTTCTCCCCGGTATCCACGCCTGTGTGCTAGAGCTGACTACCTAAACTCGCTAGTAGATTTGCAAACACGTATTGAGTTCCAACGTACCAGCAAAGACTGTGTTCAGGCTTGACATTTTGACTGCCCATCCCCATGCTTAACAGAATTAGCCCAAAACCGTATTTACTCTTGCCCCTTTAATTCATCAATATCAACCCCTTTTTATTGCTTCTAAGTGTCATAATTTATTGCTATGACCTTTGCTACTTTTGGGTTGCCAATTTGCCAGTGTTTTGCCTGGCCAACAGTGTGCTGTCACAGAGATTGGCTGACTGACACTTTAATAGAGAACGCAGTTTGTTTTCAATACCAGAGCTTGTTGTGATTAGCTTGTCTTGTGTCTGTGGTTCATTTGAAGGTGGTAACTATAATGTCTGAACCTAGAGTGCCAGAAGGGTTGGAAAGTTCTCAGGGTCAGGGCAGCTTGAGAGGACCAGAGGCATCCAGCAGCCCCTATGGGGGGGTAGCGCTACAAGCATGTCAGGTCTCAATCTTCCATTGAATATTTATAGATCTCCAGGATATACCCCCCTCCCACTGAATAGCTGGGAAAAATTAATCTTCATATTATGAAGAATGCAGCAGGGGACACAGATGTGATATATTATTCCTCTTCTACTCTGGACTGTATGGAAATAGTGAAGGCAACATAGATGATTAGCTGAAAAGCCAAGCTTGCCTTGTTCTAGCCATGGCAGGGGTCAGCTTGATCGCCACAAGTAAGAAGGTCTGGATCATATTTTCATACAAAAATGTTATCATCACAGTAAAAGTCCATCATGATGCAGTCAGGGAAGAGTTAAGGAAGGGTTTTCTGCACCGGATTTGGTTGTCCTGGTTAGGTCATTCCCAGCCTCCCAAGTCTTGTAATGTTGCCAACACTTACAGCTAAACATTATGCAATAAGAAGATACTGCACTTAGGACAATTGTTTCCAAACTTTCAAAGCAAAGGGCCAGTTTACTGCCCTTCAGACTTTATGGGGAGCTGGACTGTGGCCAGTGTAAGTAGAAATTGACATCTTGGAGTCAGTGGGAAGAACAGTGTCCCATTTTTTGTGTCAATGGGAGGAATAGTGCCCCATCTTTGGTATTAGAGGGAGGAACAGTGCCCCATGTTGGTGTCAATGGGAGGAAAAGTGCCCTATTTTTTTTTTTTATTAGGGGGATGAATAGTATCTCATCATTGGTGTCAGTAAGAAGAATAGTGCCCCATTACTTGTATTGGGGGTAGGAATAGTGCCCCATCTTTGGTATTATGGGAAGGAAAAGTGCACCATCTTTGGGAGTAGGAACAGTGTCCCATCTTTGGTATTATGGGTAGGAACAGTGCCCAATCTTTGGTAGTACAGGTAGGAATAGTGCCCCTTCTTTGGTATTTTCAGTGGAAGGAACAGTGCCTTATCATTTTTACATAGTTACGCTGGCCAAAAAAATACAAAAGTCCATCCAGTTCAACCATAAAAAAAACCAAAAAACAGTTATAATCCTACACCTACAGTTGATCCAGAGGAAGGCAAAAAAAAACAGGAAAGAACAATCCAATTTGCTCCTGCAGGGGAAACAAATACATTCCTGATCCCCTGAGAGGCAATCGGATATTCCCTGGATCAACTTTACCTATAAATATTTATTTATTTCAGGTACTTGTATGGCGCCATCAATTTACACAGCGCTTTACATATATAACGTACATTCACATCAGTCCCTAACCCTCAAGGGTTGTACAATTGAAGGTCCCTTTCTCACATTCATACATACTAGGGCCAATTTAGACAGGATCCAATTAACCTACCAGCATGTCTTGAGTGTGGGAGGAAACCAGAGTACCCAGAGGAAACCCACGCAGGCACAGAGAGAACATGCAAACTCCAGGCAGGTGGTGCCGTGGCTGGAATTCGAACCAACGACCCTAGTACTGCCAGGCGGAAGTGCTAACCATTTAGCCACTGTGCTGCCTATATATAGTAACCAGTTATATTCTGTGTATCCAAGAAACAATCCAGGCCTTTTTTAAAGCAATCCACTGAGCTGGTGAGAACCAACTCTTGAGGGAGTCTATTCCACATTTTCACAGCTCTCAATGTGAAGAAACCTTTCTGTTTTTGGAGATTACATTTCTTTTCCTCCAGACGTAAAGAGTGCCTCCTTGTCCTCTGTGATGACCTCAGGCTGAATAACTCTACACCGAGTTCACTATATGAACCACTGATGTATTTATACATGTTGATCATATCCCCCCTTAATGTCCTCTTCTCAAGAGAGAACAAATTCAGTTCCTCTAATCTTTCCTCATAGCTGAGCTCCTCCATTTCTCTTATCAGTTTGGTTGCCCTTCTCTGTACTTTCTCCAGTTCCCCAATGTTCTTTTTGTAAATTGGTGCCCAAAATTGAACTGCATATTCCAGATGAGGTCTTACTAATGATTTGTACAGGGGTAGTATGATATCTCTCTCTCTGGAGTCTATACCTCTTTTAATACAATGGAGGATTTTGCTTGCTTTAGAAACTGCAGCTTGGCATTGCATGCCATTATTAAGCTTGTGATCTACCAGAACTCCCAGATCCTTCTCCACCATTGATTCCCCCAGTTGTACCCCCCCCTAGTATGTATGATGCATGCATATTCTTAGCCCCCAGGTGCATAACCTTACATTTATCAACATTAAACCTCATTTGCCACATAGTTGTCCGATTAAACAGTGCATTGAGTTCGGCTTGTAAGCCGGAGACATCCTGTAAGGATGCTATTCCACTGCACAGTTTGGTGTCATCTGCAAAGACTGAAATGGGATTTTTAATCTCAGTCCCTATATCGTTTATAAATATATTAAAAAGTAAGGGTCCCAACACTGAACCTTGGGGTACACCACTGATGACCCCAGACCATTCACAGTATGAATCATTAACCACTACTCTCTGAATATGATCTTTTAGCCAGTTTTCTATCATTTACATACTGATTTTTCCAAGCCTGTAGACTTTACCTTACACATTAGCCGTGTGTGGGGAACTGTGTCAAACGCTTTTGCAAAATCCAAGTATACCACGTCTGCCGCCATCCCTCTGTCCAAGGTTTTGCTCACCTCCTCATAAAAAGAAATCAGATTTGTTTGACAACTTCTGTATTTCATGAATCCATGCTGTCTGTTGCTTAAAACATTTTTTTCCAGCAAAAACTCATCTATGTGGTCTTTTATTAAACTCTCCAGTATCTTCCCAACTATAGATGTTAAATACACCTGTGGGTGTATGCCATCCAGTCCAGGTACTTTATTCATCTTTATTCTGTCTAAATATTTTTGGATCATATCAATTGTGAGCCAATGTGGATCATCTGGTGTCAATACCATATCCATTATGGACAAGAGCTCCCCCATGCTCCTTTGTATACACAGAGCTGAAGAAGGTATTTACCATATTTTTCGCTCCATAAGACGCACTTTTTCCCCCCCAAAAAAATGGGGGAAAATGTGTGTGTGTTGTATGGAGCGAATATGGAGCGGCAGGCCCGGTATTTCCGCTTCTGCCGTGTTAGAATACCGGGCCAGTCGCTCGGCTCTTCTGTGCAGCAGAACCTGCTCCTTGGTCCTACCTGTTCCTCAGTCCAGCGTTGTCCTCGCCATCTTCTCTCCCTGGCGCCAGCAACTTTAGTGTGGGCACCCGGCTGTGACAGCTTGCAGCTTCACAGCCAGGTGCCCACTGCTCATGCGTGAGAAGTGCTGTGCCTTGTGAATGGTCCAGGTGTCTTCTGGGACCTGTCACGTGTCCCAGAAGACGGGGAAGACAACTCTGCGGAAGTGGAAGCGTGTACCTGTCAAATTCTGGTACCTGCTCCCCAAAGGTCCGCAGTCTCTGGTCATCTCCTGTAATGTGTCCGCAGTCTCTGGTCATCTCCTGTACTATGTCCGCAGTCTCTGGTCATCTCCTGTACTGTGTCTGCATTCTCTGGTCATCTCCTGTACTGTGTCCGCAGTCTCTGGTCATCTCCTGTACTGTGTCCGCAGTCTCTGGTCATCTCCTGTACTATGTCCGCAGTCTCTGGTCATCTCCTGTACTATGTCCACAGTCTCTGGTCATGTCCTGTACTATGTCCACAGTCTCTGGTCATCTCCTGTACTATGTCTGTGGTCTCTGGTCATCTCCTGTACTATCATCATGCATTACCGTGGTACACCACGTATGTATTGTGTTGTGTATTTAAACGTTTAGCTCTGAGGAAGGGGGTTCGTCTCCCGAAACGCGTCAATTATCCCGATTAAGGGCACATTATTGCATTGACTGTTATTGCGGACTACTTATTCTGCTTTTAATTTCCATTGGTTTGTGAGTATATATCCATTATTCTACACAATAAATACGTGGTGTACCACGGTAATGCACGATGAAAGTGCGCCCTTGTCTGCTTTTGTTCACCAGTGTCTAGATTTTTCGATCTTTGAAGGGCAGCACCTCTTCATTTGGCATTCTGAAATTTCCTTTGGTCTGCATGAGGATTTGAGCATTGGTTTCATTTGTTTGTCATTGGATCTCCTGTACTATGTCTGCGGTCTCTGGTCATCCCCTGTACTATGTCTGCAGTCTCTAGTCATCTCCTCTACTGTGTCTGCAGTCTCTGGTCATCTCCTGTACTATGTCTGCAGTCCAGCGGTTCAGAATATTTGTTTCTAGTTTTCCTTCTCTAAAACCTAGGCGCGTCTTATGGTCAGGTAAGTCTTATGCAGAGAAAAATACTTGTATAAAATCTGCCTTCTCTTTGTCCCCAGTCACCCACTCTAGATTATTTTGTAAAGGGCCTACATACTCGGACCTGACTTTTCTACTATTAATATATTTGAAGAATTTTTGGGGGTTGGTCCTGCTATCTTTTGCAATCTGTCGTTTCTTTTCAATTTTTGCGGCCTTTATTTCCTGTTTGCATATTCGGTTACATTCTTTGTAATGTTTAAACGATGATAGCGATCCTTCATTTTTACATTTAATAAAAGCTCTTTTCTTATTATCTATAGCTTTTTTAACTTTGGCCGCAAGCTACATAGGTTTGATTTTTTGCATTTTAAACTTGTTGCACATGGGAATATATTTTGCAGTGTGTTCACATACAGGCTTTTTTCAAGAACTCCCATTTCTGTGTCGTGTTCATTGATGCCAATATTCCCTCCCAATCTAAGTCTTGGGGAGCAGCTCTCAGCTTTGGAAAATTAGCTGTCTTAAAGTTGAGAGTTTTTATTTTCCCCGTATGTGCTTGCTTTTTACAGCTAACAAATTAAATCATGTTATGGTCACTGCTATCCAGATGTTCTTTTATATGGACATTCGTAATAAGCTCTGCATGGTTTGAGATTACCAGGCCCAGCAGAGCATCATTCCTAGTCGGGGCCTCTATGAACTGTACCATAAAATTGTAGTAGGTTTAAACATTTTTGCTGTCAGTGAGAGGAATATTGCCCCATCTTTGGTATCAGGAGGAGGAATAGTGCCCCATTGCTGGTGTTAGTGGAAGGAATAGTGCCCTTTCTTTGGTATTAGGGGAAGGAATGGTGTCCCATCATTGTTTTCAGTGGGAAAAATAGTGCTCCATAGCTGGTGTCAGTGGGAGGAATAGTGCCTCATCTTTAGTATTAGGGGGAGGAAGAGTGCCCCACCATTGGGATCAGTGGGAGAACTAGTGTCTGAATATAGGCAAGAAAAATGCCACAGTTTGCATACCACTGCCTTAGGACATTGAGGCATATCCAGTTTTAATCTAGAGCTTGTTTTATTCCAGGTATTTTCTGAAACCACTCTATGCAATCCATATCAGGACATGTACCAATTATGGCATTTTTATGAGGTTTGCCCTCCTGACAAGAACATAAAGGATATAGTAAAGATTACAAAGCTGCATTAATTTGTTTCTTTTATGTCTGCCTAATGTTCAGCTTTATGAAAGGACAGTGACATTGTGTCATTATGCTATGCTCTTCCGACTGTTACCAGGACTAAAACTGAGGGAAATTCCAAAAAGTTGGAGTACTCCCCAGAAAAGGAATAGAAGTAACATTTTCCAATGGGGACATCTGTTTCCAGGGACAACCAGCACTGTATTTCAGTGGAGAGATTTCCACTCACTTCTGGATGTTTCTAAAAGACAGGAAGTGATGGAAAAATAAAGAGTAACAATTTTTTTACTGTAAATAAAGCTGTGCACAAAATATATTGATTCCACAAAATTTTCTTTTCCCTTTTTTAAAAAAAAAAAAAAAAAAACCAAGGTCAGCTAGTATGAATGTCTATAAAGTCTCAGCAAGAAAACAGTCTATTTGCAGCTATACTGAAAAACCCAGGAATTAACTGTTAAAAACCTACATTAAAGTTATCTCCAAGTAAATGACTCTTCTTATTCTCTTATTCTTTTTAACTGAGCTCCATCTAGATTAAAGCATGGTTCACACTAGGCAATGCTCTAAAAAGTTATCTGTGACGTATTTCTTTTCAGAGTGCAGATAAGAAGCTGCAGTGAGGCAAAGCAGCTGTTTATAATGGGGCCATTGCCCCACAATCATGAGTCAAACATCAGGCAGGCGGACGTAGTATTGCCCGATTGACTTGAACACCAAAATTTGACAAGCAGTGCCTGGTAATTTGGCATGCTGCGTTAAATTTGTCATGACCGTGCCATGGGAAAAGCTACCTCTGGCTATATTTTAGACTCTAGGTAGTCAGCTGGGAGGTAAAACTGCTTAGAGGCCTGTGTTTACCATCCCCCAGGCTTCCCATGTAAAAGAGGCCAATCTGAGTGGGATTTGCCCCAGTACGTACTGTAAACATAAAAAACTCAAATGGAGAAACAGTGATTAGGTCCCAAGCAAGAAGCTGTAGTTTCTATATGGTAGATCTTGGTTTATTATTACACTTCTATAATGGCTGCAGCTCTTCTACAGGGTATTGGATGTCTCTGTGCACTAAAACAACAAACAGAAGGCGCCGCCATCCAAGTGTATCAATTTAATTAAAAACAAGCAAAGTGAAGGGTTAAAATGCACTCACAAGAATGAGAGTAAATGGGCATATTATCAGTCCTTACTTGCTGGCAAGCCTCAGTGGACAGCAGGTGGATGGATGGATGAGATGTATCCTTAAAGCAGCTCTAGAATAAAGCTGGACTCTGTTAACATGTTTCGGAGCCCACAATCGCTCCTTGGAGCAGTTCATGGTTTGAAAAGGAGTGATTGTGGGCACTGAAACATGTTACCACCCATCATGCTTTGACATCAATACGTCCCAATGTCACTTCTGATTCCGGTCCTAGCGCTGGCTTGCGTTCCAGTGCGGCTATATTTCCTGCTGGAGGAAGACACAGCCTGTCATACGGACTTAATCTGCATCCTGACAGAGTCAAGCTTTATTCCACCTATCCTACAGAGCTGTTTTAGGGATACATCTCATCCATCCAACCGCTGTCCACTGAGGCTTGCCAGCATAAAAGGACTGATGATATGCCCATTTATGCTCATCCTTGTGTGTGCATTTTAACCCTTTCCTTGTTTTTAATTAAATTGATACTCTTGGATGGTGGCGCCTTCTGTTAGTTTATTGCTCTGCCCCAGTACATGCAGTGAAGTCAGTGGTTCTCATTCAGATTATTATTATATCTTCTAGACACATTTCAGTAACAAGATTCAATGGCAGGTAGAGCTGCTGTTTAAGGAGGACCTCTCAGTAAATTTACATCTGCATGAAAAAATATTCCTGACATGTCACATTATACAACAGTATCATCTTTAGAAAAGGCTCTATGTTTTATTGCTAAAAAGAAGCCATTAGTCAATCGTCAGCTAAAGCTGGCCATACATGGAGCAGACGGATCAAGAACTGGCTGAAATCCGCTCAGTGGTTTTGTCCTGTTGGCCTCCTCCCACTCAGCATCCCTCAGTTGTATGCACCCCCCATATATTGGTAAAGAACATATTACACATATATACCCTGATCACTTGCTACATAGTCACTAGCACATGTGTCTTCATGAAAAGCATGTCTGCCCATATGGAAGAAAAATATATTTGAAATAGATTTTTAAAATATTCTTCCCAAATATATTGACATATATTTGAAATACTACAATTTTGGCTATATTCAATATATTTCAAAATATATTTCAATAAATATACAGTATATTTGAAATGTATTTTTTTCATATATTTTTATATTTTGTAATAAAAAACGCATTTCAACATACAGTCTGGGTATATATATATATATATATATATATATATATATATATATATATATATATATATATACATACACACACACTGTATGTTGAAATGCGTTTTTATTACAAAATATATGAAAAAGATTTTTAAAAATACATTTCAAATATACTGTATATTTGTTGAAATATATTTTGAAATATATTGAATATGGCCAAAATTGTAGTATTTCAAATATATGTCAATATATTTGGGGAGAATATTTTTAAAATATATTTCAAATATATTTTTATTCCATGTGGGTGTGTATGTGTATTGATATATATTTATATTTGAGAGTGGTTTTTGGATTAAATGTGTGTTGTATTATGCATATCTTGGCTATTTTTATATAATCATGTATCACATTCATTTTTTTATTATGTTTTATACATATACATACATTCTTTTTTCAAAGCATGTCTCTCATATCTATATCAGTAACAAACATTCCATATATTGGTATGGGGTCACCCACCTAACTATTGTCTTACATGTGCATTTCTAGTACAATCTGTGTTAGTTATTATTTACATATTTTTATTGTTTAGAATGAAGTCACGTGACCACGATGTAATGCGTAGGGTGTGAGCGAGGTTAGATGCAGAGCAGAAATGATGTGATATTTGGTTTATGCATGGCTACAAAGCTGATTGTATATGTCAATGTGTGAGTGCATATTTTATTAATAAATTGTCTGTTTTTAAGTACTTACTACACAATGGGAGCCCTTTCTTTATGCTTCTTTCACTGAGAGCAATACATAATGGCCGCATGAATGCTTAGGGAACTTAAAGGAACCACACCCCTTAAATTCCTGGAGGTACTGGGAATTGCATCAAGAGAGACCCCAGTGGACAGA